AACGCACCTCTCGTTCGAGACTGTTGCTTCCGAAGGAGGAAAAAGACACAAGCGAACCCAGAAAAAAAGACACAAGCGAACCCTAAAAAAAAGACACAAGTGAACCCAAAAAAAAAGACACAAGTGACCCCCCTTCCGGAGTAGTAGCAGTAGTAGTAGCAGTAGCAGCAGCAGTAGCAGTAGCAGTAGCAGTAGCAGTAGCAGTAGCAGTAGCAGTAGCATAGCAGTAGCAGTAGTAGCAGTAGTAGTAGTAGTAGTCGTCGTCGTCGTCGTCGTCGTTAGTAGGAGAAAGAGTAGTAGTAGCAGCAGTAGTAGTAGAAGTAGTAGTAGTAGTAGTAGTAGTAGTAGGAGTAGTAGCAGTTGTAGTAGTAGTAGTAGTAGTAGTAGTAGTAGCAGTAGTAGTAGTAATAGTAGTAGTAGTAGTAGTAGTAGTAGTAGTAGCAGTAGTAGTAGTCGTTAGTAGGAGAAAGAGTAGTAGTAGTAGTAGTAGTAGTAGTAGTTGTTGTTGTTGTAGTAGTAGTAGCAGCAGCGGCGGCAGCAGCACCAGTAGTAGCAGATGTCGTCTACTGCGACTATAGTACCACCACCACCAATGTAGTAGTGCTGCGAATACTACGACGACTAATACTACCAACGTGAAAGCCGGCTGAACCCGACTTTACAAATCTCCGAAAACACCGTTCCCAGCCCCAAGTCCGGAGATCAGTCGCACGACCTACTGCAAACCTAACACAACCCCTCAGAAGATGGGGCCCCCGCCTCTGCAGGGACCTCGGGGGTATCCCGCACGCCTTCATCTGGCACAGCAGCTGCCGCCGCCCCCGCCTGTTGCTCAGTGAAACTTCGTGAAAGGTACTAAGACAAACCCTGAGGGTTAAAACCTTGAGTCTACGGTTTTTTAGTTGAGGATTGTCACGGGGTTCACTGGGACGTTCAAGACATTGGGTTTGGCATGATTCGGGGTTTAGGGCGAGGAATTCGACCATGGCTTCATGATGTCCTTCTTTTCCTCGACTTTTTCGTCAATCTGTGATCGTGGCTTACACGTGCTTGTGATTGTACGTGTGAGTCTGGGCATGGTTGTGGTTGTGATTGGTGGTGGTGGTGGCAGCTGTTGCTGCGGTGGTCGTCGTCGTATACCATCCGTGCTTGGCACCAAGCTGCTTTGAGCAGGATGATCGGATCCGTCGCACGACCTACTGCAAAACCCCCTGAAACCTAGCAAAGCCCTTCAGACATTCAACAAAGGAATCGAGCCCCCACCTCTGCATGGACCTCAGTGGCATCTGGCATACCCTCATCCGGAACAGCCGACGCCTCCACCTTGCGGGTGCAGGCGCACTCAGTGCATGTTCGTGAAGGCTAGGGCCAAACCTGTGGGTTCCTGTGTGGGATTTAAACAGGGCTTCATAGGGTTCAGGATTTAGGGTTTCGGGATTCAGACAGGGCTTCATAGGGTTTAGGATGTCTTGTCTAGGGTTTAGGGTTGTCTTAACCAGGAAACCTCATCGTCGTCGAGGTCGTAATGGTTGGTTGTCTCAAGCTTCCGTATAGGACGTACTTGTCACTTGGTATACCATCCGTGCTGGGCTCCAAGCTGCTTTTAAGCGCGATGACCCGATCTGACGGACGACCTACTGCAACACCACCTGAAACCTAGCAAAGCCCGCAAGACGTTCAACAAAGGAATCGGGCCCCGCACCTCTGCATGGACCTCAGGGGCATGTGGAACGCCTTCATCTGGCACAGCCGCTGCTGCCTCCTTAGCATGCGGTTGTTGTTGTTGTTGCTGGTGGTGGTGGCGGCGGTGGTGGCCGTAGTTGCTGTTGCCACTTCTAATGCGACTCGAACGCAGCTGTCGTTGTTGTTGCCACTTCTAACGCGGCTCTAACAAAGCCCTTCAGACATTCAACAATGCAATCGGGGCCCCCACCTCTGCATGGACCTCAGGCGCATCCGGCATACCCTCGTCGGGCACAGCCGCCGCCGCCTCTGCCTTGTGGGTGCTGATGCACGTGGCGAAGGTTCGTGCAGACTACTACGAGAAACCCCCAAGGCACAAAGCCTTGGGTCTACGCTTTCCGGTTCCGGCGTCGAACCGGGGTTTACAAAGGCTGGACAAAACCCAGGAAACTTCGGAGTTGCTAGGTCCTATAGTATGGCTGGGATGGTTTGAAGTTTAGGGCGAGGGCTTTGACCATGGGTTTCAAAGGGTCCTTCTTATCTTGATTCGTCTTGTTGGTGGTCCTGGTCGTGATTGTGGTTGCGGCTGTGGTGGTTGCTGGTGGTGGAGGCGGTGGTGGTTGTTGTCGTTGTTTTGGTGCTGTTGCTGCTTGCTGGTGTTGCGGCTTGTTCCCGACGTCATCTTTTTTCCTCGTCGTCGTTGCTACTATTGCTGTCATGATCGTCGAGGCCCTTGTCGTCGTCGACATCATCGTCGTCGAGGTCGTAATGGTTGGATTTCTCAAGCTTCCGTCTAGGACGTAATTGTCACTGGGCATACCATCCGTGCTGGGCGCCAAGCTGCTTTTAAGCGCGATGACCCGATCTGACGGACGACCTACTGCAACACCACCTGAAACCTAGCAAAGCCCGCAAGACGTTCAACAAAGGAATCGGGCCCCGCACCTCTGCATGGACCTCAGGGGCATGTGGAACGCCTTCATCTGGCACAGCCGCCGCTGCCTCCTTAGCATGCGGTTGTGGCTGTAGTTGCTGTTGCCACTTCTAACGCGGCTCGAACAAAGCTGTCGTTGCTGTTGCCACTTCTACTGCGGCTTTAACAAAGCGCTTCACACATTCAACAAAGCAATCGGGGCCCCTACCTCTGCATGGACCTCAGGCGCATCCGGCATACCCTCGTCGGGCACAGCCGCCGCGGCCTCCGCCTTGCTTGTGCTGATGCATGTGGCGAAGGTTCGTGCGGACGACTCAGAACAAACCCTGAGGCCTATACAGCCTTGGGCCTTGGGTCTACGCTTTCCGGCTCAGAAGTTTAATCGGGATTTACGCAGGCGTTCCCAAAATCCAAGAAACTGCAGAGATGCTAGGTTTGGGATGGTCTGGGGATCAGTGCGAGGGCTTTGACCATGGCTTCAAAGGGTCCTTCTTCTTGTGCGTCTTATTCGCCTTCTTGGTGGTCCTGGTCGTGAATGTGGTTGTGCACGTGCTTGTACTTGTGATTAGCATACTGTTGTGATGGCTCTTATTGTTGTTGGAGGTGGAGGCGGTTGTGGCGGTTGTTGTTGCCGCTGTTTGTTGGTACTGTAGTTGCTGTTGTTGAAGTCATATTCCTGCTCGTCGTTGCTGCTATTGTGGTCATCATCTTCGCAGCCATTGCCGTCGTCGATATCATTGCAGGGCTCCAAGATGCTTTTAAGCGCGATGACCCGATCTGACGCACGACCTACTGCAACACCCCCTAAAACCTAGCAAAGCCCTGAACACATTCAACAAAACAATCGGGCCCCCACCTCTGCGTGGACCTCAGGGGCATCTGGAACGCCATCATCCGGCACAGCCGCCAGGGCCTGCTTAGCAGACGGTTGTTGCTGTTGTTGCTGTTGTTGGTGGTGGAAGCGGTGGCGGTGGCGGTGGCGGTGGCGGTGGCGGTGGCGGTGGCGGTGGTGGTGGTGGTGGTGGTGGTGGTGATGGTGGTGGTAAGGTTGGTGGTGGTGGTGGTGGTGGTGGTGGTGGTGGTGGTGGTGGTGGTGGGGGCGGCGGCGGTGGTAGTGGTGGTGCTGCTGCTGTTTGTGGTGGTGGTGCTGGCGCTGCTAGTGGTGCTGATGGTGCTGGTGGTGCTGGTGGTGCTGGTGGTGGCGGTGGCGGTGGTGGTGGTGGTGGTGGTGGTGGTGGTGGTGGTGGTGGTGGTGGTGGTGGTGTTGGTGGTGTCGGTGGTGGCGGTGGCGGTGGTGGTGGTGGTGGTGGTGCTGCTGGTGGTTGTTGCTTTTATTGTTGCCACTGCTACCGCGGCTGTTGTTTCTTGCTGCAGTTGTGTGCTGCTGTTGCTGATGTGATTGCGGGCGTCGTAACCGAAGTCGTGGGCTCTTGTCGTCATCTTCGTCGAGGTCATAATGGTTGGATTTCTCGTGTCACTTGGTATACTATCCGTGCTGGGCTCCAAGCTGCTTTGGGCCCGACGATCCAGTCTGATGCACGACCTACTGCAACACCCCCTGAAACCTAACAAAGCTCTTCAGACATTCACTAAAGCAATCGGGGCCCCCACCTCTGCATGGTTTTCAGGGGCATCTGGGACGCCTTCATCTGGAACAGCCGCCGCTGCCTCCTTAGCATGCTGTTTTTGTTGTTGCTGGTGGTGGTGGCAGCGGTGGTAACTGTAGTTGTTGTTGCCACGTCTACCGCGGCTTTAACAAAGCGCTTCAGAAATTCAACAAAGCAATCGGGGCCCCCACCTCCGCATGGACCTCAGGCGCATCCGGCATACCCTCGTCGGGCACAGCCGCCGCGGCCTCCGCCTTGCTTGTGCTGATGCATGTGGCGAAGGTTCGCGCGGACGATTCAGACTAAGACGGCTTGGGCCTTGGGTCTACGCTTTCCGGCTCAGAAGTTTAATCGGGATTTACGCAGGCTTTCCAAAATCCAAGAAACTGCAGAGATGCTAGGTTTGGGATGGTCTGGGGATCAGTGCGAGGGCTTTGACCATGGCTTCAAAGGGTCCTTCTTCTTATGCGTCTTATTCGTCTTCTTGGTGGTCCTGGCCGTGAATGTGCTTGTGCATGTGCTTGTGCTTGTGACTAGCATACCGTTGTGATGGCTCTTAGTATTGTTGGTGCTGGCCCTTGTTGTTGCCGCTGTTTGCTGTTGCTGTAGTTGCTGTTGTTGAAGTCATTTTCCTCCTCGTCGTTGCAGCTATTGTGGTCATCATCTTCGCGGCCGTTGCCGTCGTCGATATCATTGCAGGGCTCCAAGATGCTTTTAAGCGCGATGACCCGATCTAACGCACGACCTACTGCAACACCCCCTGAAACCTAGCAAAGCCCTTTAGACAAAGCAACCGGGGGCCCCACCTCTGCATGGACCTCAGGGGCATCTGGCATACCCTCATCCGGAACAGCCGACGCCGCCACCTTGCGGGTGCAGGTGCACTCAGTGCATGTTCGTGAAGGCTAGGGCCAAACCTGTGCGTTCCTGTGTGGGATTTAAACAGGGGCTTCATAGGGTTTAGGATTTAGGGTTTATAGGGTTTAGGGTTTTGGGATTCAGACAGGGCTTCCTAGGGTTTAGGATTTGGGAGTTTCCGAAAATAGGGGACCCTAATATAGTACCCTAAACAGTAGGATCCTTATTGCAAGGACCCCCAAATAAGGTACCCTAATTTTCGGAAACTCCCATTTGTTGTTTAGGGCTTAGGGTTGTCTTAACCAGGAAACTTCACGGCAGTCAGGGTTGGGGTTTAGGGCTCAGGGGCTTTCTGGTCAAGATTTCCTGCTCTGACTTTTGATTTCGCATGTGCAGATCTAGGGTTTAGGGTTTAGGGTTTAGGTTTTTCGCATGTGCAGATCTGGGAGCTAACTTCTCTCAACCGGTACAACAACTTACGGTCCCACTGCAACTTGTTGAGAATGCTGTACTAAACTATACCGTACTATGCCGTACTAATACTTTACTATTACTATATTATATTATACTATGCTATACTCTACTATGCCATACTCTAGCAACTATACAAAACCATTCGGTTCAGGGGTACCCATATGAGGGATCCCGCCCAAACCATGATAGTAATTCCTACGATCGAAACCCTACCTTCTACCATGAAATTCTAGACTGTGAAGTAACCAGGGAGAAAAAAGTATAGACTTTAATTTCATAATGGTTCCTTTAAGGAACAGGTACCGCAAAAAAAGTACTAAAGTATGGTACTCCAGAACCCAGAATTAGGTATTTGGAAGGTCCGTCTGGTGTTTGCTGTGCCAAAACCTCACAAAAACCCAGAGGCTCCATGTACCCATAGAGCATAATACTCAGGCCTTATATCTAGGTACTTAAGGCCTATGTACATACTATATTGGTACATGGAGCCTTGGGGGAATACATTTCTGAGCTGGCTCCTCGGGCATCTGCAACAGGGGGTCAGGCGCCGCGTGTCATTCTGTCATTAGGGTTTAGGGTTTAGGGGTTTAGGGCCAGGGTTTAGGGTTTAGGGTTTAGGGTCATCCTTATCACTATTGTTGTAATTACTTTTACTACGATTCTCACGATGATCAGCATTATTACGGTTATTAAGATACTGTATTATTCTCGCACTATCATTATTCACATTAGCTTTATAATTATGACTCCGACCCTTATGATTCTGATTATGACTAGTATTCCTACTGCTGCTATTGCAATTCGATGATTCCGAAGGCTACTATCATTCATTGTTACTACCCGCTGGCATTACTAGATTTACTATTATGTCTGCTTCTTCTCCTACTACTACTACGACTACTACCACCACCACCACCACCACCACCGCTACTACTACTGCTGCCACGATGAAGTATTTCTACTCTCGAGGTTCCCAATTGACATGTGGTGCTACGATTCTAAACCACAGGGCCCATGTGCACAGTTGGTCAAACACTGAAGCGTCTGCAAGGTTGACAACAGGTGGGAGTTCCCGAAAGTAAGGAGTATCATATTTGGGGGTCCTTATAATAAGGATCCTACTATTTAGGGTGCTATATTAGGGTCCCCTGTTTTCGGAAACCCCCAGGTGTCTTGGCCCTGAACGAAGGCTTTCTAGTATCCGGAGCTTCGCACCCAGCAAAGCACTTGCGAAACGTAAAGACAACGTTCAATTTTGTTCAGGCTCTTTACACCGCCCCTAAACTAGAAGCCCCCTGTGACGCAACAAAAACTGCGGTGTGTGTGAGAACCCCTTCAACTTATACAACAATCAATCCTCGGGAACAGCCAATTAAAACACACAGACACACAGCAGGCAGACCCCCTGTAAGGGTTTAGTATGAGATTTTTTCCTAAACCCTAAACCCTATAAACCCTATAAACCCTATAAACCCTATAAACCCTAAACCCTATCCACAAACTTTCAACGTGCATTCCGGATGATTGGTGCTGGGATTGCCTATACTTCGCCTTGTGGCTCATGCGCATTAGGTGAGTGATGTTACCACTTTCTGTTAGCTAGTGTAAGCCCTAAACCCTAAACCCTAAACCCTAACCTAAACCCTAGCGCTAGGCCCTGAAACATGCCTCTTCAAGGTTCAGGGTTTAGGGTTTAGTCTTCTGGAATTCAGCACTCTGAGCCCTAAACGCTAAGCCGTGCCTTTTCGACTTCGTTGCTGGCAGACACCGGTGCAGGAACTGCATCGTCGTGGCGACTGTTAAGCACCTAGAGGGTCAAACCCTACCTTAAAGGAAACTACAGGTGGGGAGTTTAGGGTATATAGGGCTTCTATAAGGCTTCTATCAGGTATATAGACCTTCTACAAGGCTCCTATAAGGGTAACTACCCACCTGAAAATGTCCTAGACTACCCCTTTTATAAGGTACCTCGTTTTCTGGTTAAGATCGAGTTTATACAATATAGACTAACCGTACCTCTTAACCCCCTTCGCCCAGTAAGCGCACGGTGGTTTCACCACCAAGCAGATCTTCTATGCATTACATGTCAACTCATCGTTACATAGAATAAGTTAAAGAACACGATATACGACACTGTACTCTAATCTACTATACTATACTGTACGGTCATATAATGCAAGGTACCATAACATGGCATTGCATAATCTACTGTTCTTATTCAAGCTATTCTAATACGAACATGGTTATCGCTCAACACAACATAAAATGAAATAGCATAGCACACGTGATATCTAACGTCTAGTCTTACATGATTTAGCCTACTATTTGCCTAAAAAAGGTAGTATAAGCCATTATGTCTAATATACTGTGATGCTGCGCCGCCCTCGAAAAGCTTGCTGATCATATGAAGTTGGGCTTGTAAGCAACGGGCCCTTGGTGAGAGTATGCAGAGCTCCCTGGGTATGGCGAGTCTTTCATTTTTGGGAATAACAGATAAAGCTCGCTGAATCTCGGCACCAGAGGGATTTAGCCTTCGGCGTGGTGCTTTGGGCAGATAGCATACCACACAATTCCATACTGTACTATACTATGCTGTACTATACTATACGTCACTATACTATACTACATTTTTATACCAATACTGTACTAGACTATACTACAAACACCATACTACACTATAGACTATAGTATACTGTAGCTTTACTGTCATGTAGTGTTGAGGCGAGCAGGGCTTTGAGGCATTATCCGGCGTTTCACAGCCAAGAATAGCCACGCTGACTGCCTACCTTGGGTGGAGGACACGGGATCCTACCCGAACCGGGTATCTCAGGCGTTCTCCTGTTGCGCGTCAGCTAAACTCAACTCAAAGAAACCTGAAACCTTCGTCCCCAGCCCTAGAACCTTGGCCCCCTTCCGGTGATTTCATAAATATTGAGCATAAGGAGGCTGAGGGTTTAGGGTTTTAGCAGCTGCATGCTGCCTCCACCTGCATCAAGCTGCGCGGACCCCGGCGCTTTGGAGTGCAGGGTGCCTGAGGCCGAAACGAGACCCAAAGAGCCCAATGCCCCTTATTGTTTAGGGTTTAGGGGTTCGGGTTTAGGGTTTAGGGTTTAGGGTTTAGGGTTTAGGGTTTAGGGTTTAGGGTTTAGGGTTTAGCCCCCAATACCCCTTAAATAAGGAATAGGCCTTAAACTATAGGGGCCTCAGTATTATATGATTCAAAGTAAACTCCTTAATGAAGGGGTATTGCGTTCTCGGGGGATGCTTGGGGCTAACGGCTCAGAGGGTGTTACATTTTGTTACAGGGTTTGGGGCTTTTGGCCTAAAAGCTTTGCCGAAAGGTCTAAGTACTTATATGGTAGATACTTTGGGGCCCAAAATATATCTACTAGATGCGTACTTAGACCCTTTGGGTTTTGGCAAGATTCCGCAGGTTAGCGTCTATTTGCGTTAGGCCTCGGCCTTCGGTTTCGGGAGTGAAGCTTGGCGTTAGGGCTGCAGGCTGCCTACAGGGGCCTCGACTATGCAACCAGTTCCGGGTTGCCCATGATTACCCCAAAGGGTCTAGGTACCCACCCATATAGTAGATATGTTCGGCCCCAAAGTATCTACCATATAAGTAGTCATATAAGTACTTAGACCCTTTGGGTACATCGCATAGTTGTGGGATTTGTAGCCAGGCAGGATACATCACTTTCGGAACCGTTCCGCCAAGCAGGGTTTGGGATTGTTGGTCAACAGACAGCTGAGTGCAGTCTCGAAGGCTGGGCAACCACGCAAGCTCGAAGTACTAGCAGGGATGAAACTAACGAATACAGACAACCTGAAATTTACCCTAAACCCTAAACCCTAAACCCTAAACCCTTAACAGGTCTTTCAACTTAAACCTCAGAGGCTGTTGAGCAGGTCCGTGCAGCCTGAACCTGAGGCGACTTGACGGGGTATGAACCCTGAACCCTAAAAACCCTGGTTTAGGGTTTAGGGTTTAGGGTTTAGGGTTTAAGCCCCCAAAAACCCTAAATCCCAAACCCTAAAACCCTAAGCCTTAAACCCCCAAACCTGAAACCCTAAACCCTAAAGCCCTAAAACCCCGACCCCTCTACCCTCCTCTTAAGCTTCAAGCCACGGGCACTGGTAAAACTCTTGGGCTACGTAATGCAAGAAGAGGATCCCCCAAGGGTTTTTTTGGGTTTAGGGTTTAGGGTTTAGGGTTTAGGGTTTAGGGTTTAGGGTTTAGGGATCCCCCAAAAGTTTCGGGGTTAGGGTTTTTTTAGGGTTTTGGGGTTTGGGGTTTAGGGCTGTTTGGGTTTTAGTGTTTTGGGTTTAGGGTTTTAGGTTTTGGGGTTGAGGGTTTAGGGTTCTGGCGGTTTAAAATTTAGGGTTTTGGGGTTTTGGGTTTTAGGGCTTTGGAGTTTAGGGTTTTGGGTTTTGGGGTTTAGGTTTTGGGGTTTTAGGTTTAGGGCTTTAGGGCTTTGGGGTTGAGGGTTTAAGGTTTAGGTTTTGGGGCTTAAGGTTTTAGGCTTGGGGGGTTTAGGGGCTTGGGTTTTAGGGTTTTGGGTTTTTGGGTTTAGGGTTCTGGCGTTGAGGGTTTTGGGGTTTTGGGGTTGAGCGTTTAGGGTTTTAGATTTTGGGGTTTAGGGTTTTGGGGTTGAGGGTTTAGGGTTTTAGGTTTTGGGGTTTAGGGGTTTGGGTTTCAAGGTTTTGGGTTTTGGGTTTTGGGGTTTAGGGTTTTGGGGTTGAGGTTTGGGGGTTTTGGGGTTGAGGGTTTAGGGTTTTAGGTTTTGGGGTTTAGGGTTTTGGGGTTGAGGATTTAGGGTTTAGGGTATGGTTCACAAGTATGATCCTTACCAGGGTAACGGGGTCTTTAATCAGGGGTCTGCATGAAGCTTCCAAGAATCGTGATCCGCAGTAGATCACAGAAGCCCCAACCCGAAACCCTGTACCCAGCGATGGACCCCGGACCCTCCCCCAACCGCTGAGGTTTAGGGTTTAGGGTTTAGGGTTTAGAACCAAAAAAGCTACACCCCTCATCCTTAAACCCCAGATCACTAGACCTACGGCTACCTTGCCTCTTCCAAGGCAGAGTTCGGATCATCGTGCTTTGAGACAGCCTGCTGGTGCTTCAATAGACTCAACGCGGGTTCTACTATATTATAAGGGCTCCTTGCAAAGTTCTAGAAGGGGTCTACAGAAGAACCCTAAACCCCAGCCCCTAGACCCATCTACAGAAGGGTCTATCAAAGGTCTGGAAAGGTTCTGTACGCGGTTCAGCATTAACGGCTTCGGGGTTTGACGGCTTCGGTTTCACAATAATAAGGGTTAGGGTGGGGGCCGCTGGGTTAACCGTCATGGTTGGGGGATATTTGGGGGATACGGTTTAGGGTTAGCGGTTCAGGGTGTAGGGTTAACGTTTCAGTGTTTAGGGTTTAGGGTTACTTAGGGTTTATAGGGTTGAGGGATACCATTTACCAGCGTAATGTCTAACTTTCGGGACTCTGGTACAAGCTTCAAAGAGGACAATCGCCACAATCGCCAAGCCATCCTAGCACCGTTCCGGTATATACGATGCAGGCACATGGACCCGGGAGTAGTCTGTTTGCAAAGCTGTATCGCATTTTTCTACAATTTTCAATTAAGAGCATACGTACGTTCCCAAAGACGAAAATGCCCCTGGAGTCACTAAAAACATGCCCTAACGCCCGAAACCCCATATATTTAAAACCCCAAAACCCTAAAGTCCAAAACCCTCAAAAACCCTAAAGCCCAAAACCCTAAATTCAAAATACAATAAAACACGAAAGCCCAGAACCCCAAAAACCCTCAAGCTCTAAAGCCCCAAAACTCTAAAACCTAAAGCCCTAAACCCTAAAACTCTAAAAGCCCTAAGGCCCTAAACCCCTAAACCCCAAAACCCTAAAACCCTATAATCCAGAACTTAAAACCCTAAACCCCAAAACTCTAAAGCCCTAAACTCCAACACCCCAAAACCCCCCAATCCCCCAGACCCCGAAAACCCCAAACCCCACCCTAGACCCCTAGACTCTATAAACCCTGAAGCCCTCAAGCCCTAAAGCCTAAAGCCCAAAACCCTAAAGCCCTAAAACCCTAAAGCCCTAAAGCCCTAAAACCCAAAAGCCCTAAACCCCAAAAACCCTAAAGCCCTAAACCCCTAGACCCTATAAACCCTAAAGCCCTAAAGCCCACACCCTAAAACCCTATAAACCCTAAAACCCTATAACCCCTTAGAGCCCAAACAACTAAAACCCCATAAACCCTTTAAAATCCCAAACCCTAAACCCCAAAACCTAAAACCCCCAAAACCCCAAGCGCTCAAAACCCAAAAACCCTAAACCCTCAACTATAAACCCTAAAACCCTTAAATGATAACCGAAAACCCTAAACCCTAAACCCTTTAAACCCTGAAAAAACCCTAAAACCCTAGACACTCAACCCTAAACCCTAAACCCTAAAACCCTATAAACCCTTTAAAAACCCCTAAAGCCCTTTAAACCCCTAAAACCCTAAACCCCTAAAAGACAACGCCTGCTGCGCTTTGCCGTCGAGCGCCTTCAGGGCGGCCTCGAGGCCTTGCGCAGTCGCGCCGGCGTAGGTCATAGGGTCTTAAGGGTTTAGGGTTTAGGGTTTAGGGTTTAGGGTTTATTGGGTACAGGGTACAGGGTTTAGGGTCTTAAG